GGGAGGTTTAGATTGGACGTAAGGAAAAATTTCTTTACTGAAAGAGTGGTGAAACATTGGAACAGGCTGCCCAGGGAAGTGGTGGAGTCCCCATCCCTGGAGGTATTTAAAAGACATGTAGATGAGGCACTTAGGGACATGGTTTAGTGGGCATGGTGGTGTTGGGTCAACGGTGGGACTCGATGATCTTAGAGGTCTTTTCCAACCTCAATGATTCTATGATTCTATGATTCACTCTCAGCGGGATGGATTAATTAGCGCGAGTCCTGCCTCTGCAGTCTCTCTCCCCCTGGCACACTAACCCCCGCCTCCAGGAGGGGAGGGAAGCCCTGGGCTCCACGCTTGATCCAAGTGCCTGTGTGGAGAGGAGGCGGTGGAAAAGGAGGGAAGGCAAGCTGACCTACCACGTGCTACTGGGAGGCCATGGTGGCGCCTGCAGCAAGCATACTCACCGGCTGGGTGAGGGGCTGCGGAGATAGTGAGCCTGCACAGCCTTCATGTCCGGTCCCTCATCCCCCTCATCGGGCACCGCCTGCTCGCTGTCCGAATCTCTGCCACTGGCCATGGCAGCTGCAAGAGGATCCACTACAAGGGGAGCACAGCAGGAGGGAGGGCTGTTACAGAGGTCTGCGAAGGAGGCCATCCCCCGGCCGTGGGGCGGCAGTGGCAGGGGTGGTACGGCAGAAGGGGCTCCCACATCTTGCTCCCATGACCCTGCGAGCAGCCCTTGCCGCAAGCCAGCCGCACTGGCTCCTCTGCCAGGGTGCCTGCTGTTCCCGAGGCCTCATGCAGCTCCCTGGCTGGTGCCAGCAAGTGCCAATGCCCTTCTTGCCTGTGAGTAAGCATGCAGGAAGGCCAGGTGGCAGGGCAGAAATTCTATCCCCTCCCTGGCCGGCTCAGCCCGTGCGTGGTGGCTGGGAGGAGCTGTATACAGCCAGAGCTGGACTGGAAGGAGCGTCGGGGGCAAGAAACATGAGACCTCACCTCCCCAAAATGAAACGCTCCTAAAGCTCAAGGCCGAAGGCGCTTTAAGCCTCGGGACTTTGTCCTTATAATCCTTTGTGGGGAGGCTGCCATGCCCGCCCTGGGCGCAGGAGAGCGAGGGGGCCATAGCTCAGTTAGAAGCATGAGAACTCAGTAGCCGCCCCTTCCCCAGGTCTGGCCAGAGTGACTCCTGCCTCGCCATGCCACGACTGCCGGGCTCCGAAGGGCCCCAGCAGCCGGCCTCAGGCAGGAGGACCACAGCCGCGTGCCACCAACGGGGCTGAGGAGCGGCTGCCACTCACGGGGTAGTGGGCAGGAAGGCAGGGGAGCAAGGAAAGGGCACTTACCCCCTGTGCCTGGACGACTCTGCTGAGGGTCCCTGTCGGAGGGAGTCCAGTGAAGAGGGCAGGAAACCTGGCAGGGAACGGTACTGGGGGGAGAGAAATCAGCTGCCCCCTCTCACTCTCTCTGTGGCTTCTTCATTAAGGGGCAGGACAACTGTCAGCACCAAACCTTTATCAGCTTTCTAAATATAGCGTTGTCCTGACGCTGGCTGCTGGATTGCATGGGGAAAGAATTCAGTGCCTCATAGACGGCAGCTGGTCCAAGCACTTAACTCCTTCCCCGCTGTGGGCTGGATCCTCCAACATTTCCCAGTTGCAGGAGGAGACCAGAGAAGACCAAAAGCCAGTGCGGCTGGACCTTCACCTGCAGGGAGCCTCCAGGCAACTGGGAGCCCACCAGGCGCAACTTGAAATGCTGGTATGACCTCTGATGTCCTTGGGAAATGCAGTGCGGGATGAGCCACTCCAAGCTTAGTAGAAGCAAGCTACCTGTCAACTACCTAGATTTCTGTAAGGTCTTTGATATGGCCCCCCACAACATTCTTACCTCTAAATTGCAGAGAGATGGATTTGATGGATGGACTATTCGATGGATAAGGAATTGGCTGGATGGCTGCATCCAGTTACAGTCAGCGGCTCAGTGTCCAAAAGGAGATCCGTAACAAGTGGTGTCCCTCAGGGGTCCGTACTGGCACCAACACTCTTCAATATCTTCATTAATGACATAGACAGTGGGACTGAGTGCACCCTCAGCAAGTTTGCGGATGACACCAACCTGAGTGGTGCAGTTGATTCGCTAGAGGGACGGGATGCCATCCAGAGGGACCCTGACAGGCTTGAGGAGTGGGCCCATGTGAACCTCATGAGGTTCAACAAGGCCGAGTGCAAGGTCCTGCACCTGGGTTGGGGCAATCGTCAATATCAGTACAGGCTGGGGGATGAAGGGATTGAGAGCAGCCCTGCTGAGAAGGACTTGCGGGTACTGGTGGATGAAAGATTGGACATGAGCTGGCAATGTGCACTTGCAGCCCAGAAGGCCAACCGTACCCTGGGCTGCATCAGAAGAAGCGTGGCCAGCAGGTCGAGGGAGGTGATTCTCCCC